TATCCTGGACAGAAGATTCAGGATCAGAAAAAATGTTAAGAGAGGTATCGTCCTTGAAGGCGGGAAATGCCTGCGATGGAACCGAACATTGCCGAGCGCTAGTTGAGGCTGTAGCCCGCAGGTAGCGCCACCGTACGCTACCGTCACCACGTGCTCTCGCCGCCACGTGCTTCTGTTATCATTGTATTTATTTTTAATTGATCCAATATATATATATATATACATTACTTGACAAAAACTATTGTTTAAATAATTATTAATATGGATAGAAACAATTTTAATAGTTTCCTGAGAACTTTTTATAAAAAAAAAAAAAGAATTTTAAAATAATAGTTCTGAAGAATTTTTTGTAATTAAGTTGTAGGTTATTATAAAAGTTAAAATTATATTTATTTAAAATCTTTAAAAAGTTACGTTAACTGACAAATAAGCAATAGTTGTCCTTAGATAAAAGCACTAGCTGATCCAGGATTTAATTTTGGGGAAGGCTTCAGCCCGAAAGCTTTTTTCCATAAAAATAACGATAATTACTTTGGAAAAAAAGAAATAAACTAACTTCCTATACGGGATAGTGTTAAAATGATTTCTAAAATCCATTTAAATGTGATTACATCAACAATAATACTTTAAGAGATAATTTTTTAATATTGTTTTTCTATAAAACATTGTTATATTTTACCGTTTTGGGGGAGGGGAGGCTTCAGCCCGAAAGCCCCTTCCCCCCCGTAAATCCGTCCGTGGATAAAAGATATAATTTATCTTGAATTCCTTCATTCTCATATCGTCGGCATATTGCAAAAGATCACAAAGTACATTTTTGATAGAACTAAATCTTAAAGGTACGTTTAGAAATTTCACAAACTATCAGAAACACAATTATCTAACTTAACAAATGGCACGGGCGGATTTACGGGGGGAGGGAAGGCTTTGGGGCTGAAGCCCCCAAAATGGTAAAATATAACCATGTTTTATGGAAAAAAAATATTAAAACATTATCTATTAAAGCATTAGTGTTCATATAATTACATTTAAAATGACTTTAGGAATCACTTAAACACCATTTCATATTAGTTAGTTCCTTTCTTTTTTTTCCAAAGTAATTACCGTTATTTTTACAAAAAAAAGCTTTCGGGCTGAATCCTCCCTCCTCCCCTCAAAAAAAAAATTAAATCCTGGATCCGCTAGTGACAAACGACGACATTATTGCTTAACCAAACTATTTATTTCATTTTTCTCTTGATACCGACAGCAGATGGAAAATATCAAAAAAACAAGAAACAGAAATACTTGTATAGTGAAATATCTATTTTTATATTTGTTTTCTCATAGCTTGTGGAATGTCTAAAAGCAGCTTTAGGTACATTTTTTTTAATTTGATCTTAATTCATTGATATAAAAACATATTAACATTTAAATAAAAAATAATTACACTAAACTCACAATATTCTGATTTCATAGAGAGAAAATTCATAAAAATACTTAGTGATCTAATTTTATTACCGAAATATTTTTTCTTAATGACTGTTTGCATTTAACGGACGTTATTAAGAATGCTGTAACATACAAGCATTATTTTTTAAATTTACTTTGTTTGTTAAATTGGTCTAACAAAGTTTTCAAATTAAAGTTCTGTAAATGCTTTAATTAAAATTTTCCATTGGAAAAATTATTATACCTAAATAACAGTAAAAAAGATTAAAAATAAAATTTATGCAAGCATTACCGAAACTAATTGAAAATAAAAGTTTAGTTATCATTTCAAGATCTTGTCTTAAATTAGTTATATTTAAGACGTTTTAACCGAATTGATTGACACATTAATAAGTTTTTAATGTGTTATATAAGCTTCTTTTGTAAGTATTAACATAATTATCGAAATTACAACTAATACATTTTAATAATACAACCTAAAAAAATATAATTTTTATCTAATAACTAAAGCTTACTATAGTGGTTAGTAAAATTTTTTAAAGGTTAACTTAAATACTACCCAGTTTATTTACAATTGGTACATAAGCTACTTTAATAGAAAATTATATTTCACCTTCAAAAACTAAAATTCTCATCGAAATATATATATTTGAATTAACATTGTTCTCTTCATAGAAACTAGTGTTGCCAACTTCTGCTGTCTAAAATTACCTTATAGTATGATTAAGATAAAAAATGATTGACAAAGATATTGTCTTTAACAACTAAACAAAATAGTTAATTTTAGTTATGTTTCGTTGCCCATTAAAAACTGCAAACTGTTACTAGCTGATTTAAGGAGGGGGAAGAATTCTGGTTGAAGCCTCAAAAAAAAATTTTTTTTTTTCAATGGTCCATTTTTGTTTCTGAATCAAATAATTAAACAATTACAATATTATAATGCATTAATATAATGCCTATTGTTTGTTTGTTTGGATGGCTAGGCGCAAAACATTCAGGTCATCAGTGTCCGATCAACTAAATAACACTGCTTTTATACTGTTCAGGTGGTTGGTTAAAAAAAGAAAAAGCATAGCAATAAAATCAATAAATTCATAATTGGTAAATAGTTGACTGTCGTGAATAATGAAGAGAAGAATAGTTGGGGTGATCAGTCAAATAAGAAGGCAAAAATAAATGATAATATTTATTTTGACATTAGCCGATGTTTCGACCTGAAGTTCAGGCCATCATCAGGGCTAAGAAAAGAACCAGATAACAAGGTATGAGAAACATAAGTAGTGTAGGTAAAAAAAAAAAATTAAAGTAAAATTCAGTTGTTAGAATAATGACAATAGTAAGAACAAAGAGATAAATGATAATAAGCGGTACAAAGTGTGGAATGGTGAAGTAAACATAATCAAAAAAGGTGACATGAGTATTAAAATGGGAATCTTAGAAAAAATATGTAAAAACAGAAAAATATGAAGTTATATAAGAAATGGAAATAAACAGTAAAATCTTAATTCAATATCTTAATATTGTGAATAGAATAGTTAGATAGAAAATTGAAATGTTGTAAAGTCTATCAAGATGTATAGACAGCGAATAACATAATTAAGAGTTAAAACAGAGCAGAGGGATGAAAGGAAGGAGGAAAGAAACTGAGAAGTCTGAAATAAGAAAGAAAAAAAAACACACCTGACTGCAAAGATGTAAAATTAATAAATCAATTCGAAATTAATAAATCAATGAACGTTAAAAAAAAAAAAAAAAAATCTGCAAAGGATCATTATTTATAAAGTTGTTATATATGTTTTATAATATTTTCATTGTCTAGGAACTTAATATAACTTTGGTAAGGATTTCTTCTTGATTTCCCAGGGATGCTGATGTATTCTGGGGGGTATTCCGAGATCTTTTAACCTTGTTGTGTAAAAACGGCACTCTTCCAAAATATGTCTTAAGATTAGTGACTGGTCACACCGTTGACATCTGGGGATATGATCTTTTGTTATGAGGTGGAGGTATGTCAGTCTAGTATGTCCGATCCTCAGCCCTGTGAGAACGACCTCTTCTCTACGACTGTTGCGTTTGGAGCTGGTCCACGGTTGCACCTCTTTCTTTATTTTCTTTAATTTGTTAGGTGCGCTGTTATAATAATTATAACTATAATTAAAATTATGATTATTTGATCCTAATCTCTACAATCACATATCTATGCCATTGATTAATATTGTCAAATAAATCCTAAATTATCTCATAAAATTGCATTTACTCTTTGCCATAAACCTACTACATCCTGTCTTACAATATCCTGAAACAATAATCCACTTATCTCTGTCGAAGAGATCTGATACCTAGAGATGTATCTTGGCACACGCCTAACTTGGAATCTTTATGCAAGATTGAAATGAAGAGAAACTGCTCATAGATTCTGATGTCTAGATCATTTGCCTGACAAATTCTCTAAACTTTCAATTTAAACTTAAAGAAAACTCATATTTACCAATTACAAGCACATTTGGACATATAAAATTGAACTTTTGGACTTCACAAAACCATTTCATCCCAAAATATTCTAGACAAACCTTTGAGGCTTCTGAAAGGAAGATGGCTAAGGGGCAACTCGAATTCACAAACTACTATCTTGTTTTGTATTCTTATAGCATATTTACATATTTTATTTTTATAGTTGTAAATTTATATGAATAGAAAAAAATCATTCTTTATGTGTTTCTCTGTATATTATAATTGTTCAATTTAGAAACTTTTATCCTTTTCTGCATCAAAATACGATCACTCAGAATTTGTAGATGAAAAATTAAAGAAAAACATTTTTCTGTGAGAATGCACTTTATTATTCTATATAACATAAACAATATTAGGATCAAGATAAACAAAGAAATTATAATACTTTTAACTCATGAATGACATAAATAACATTATAACTTTAAAAAAATTATATATGCATACGTCAAAATAAGCAACCTTTTAATTGTGATTAGAATTAATATAATAATTAGAAAATAATACTTCTAAAGTTTTTTTACAAATTTTGAAATGGAATTACTGACGACTCCTGGTGAAGTTTTTGACGTGTTATTCTTGTAAAAATAATCTTGTAGTTATCAAAAACAAGCATATTTAAGATCTGAATATCTTTAATATTTGCTTAGTTTTTGAAGAAATATGAACTCTCCAACCGAATTTCTTTTCTAACAAAAAGGGATTGAAGTCTTTAAGTGGGACCATATAATGTTATTTTGTCTTGTTCATAACAAATCATGAAGATTCAACATTAAAGATATTATTCACACAAAGATGTTAATCTCTAATAATAAAATCATGATTTAAAATAATTTATCTTAGTTCTCACTTCAAAAGCACAACATTGTATTAAAACATTATAAGTTATTTAAAATTCAGTTAATGTTTAGCCATTTAAATTATGTTCAAATCTAAGCTTACCAATTTGAATCGTGTTACATTTCTGATTTTTAAGCCAAAGAAATATTTATTAATTACTTTGAACAAACCATGAGATTATTTAAAAAGATAAATTTATGATTCATTAAGTAATATTATACCTATTGTTGACTGCTTGTTTCTTCTGAACATTCTTGGGCTTCGGAAATATTTTTTCCATGTAGGTTGGCATTGACGAAACTATAATTAACAACAAATCAATTAGCTATAAATATATTTTAAATAGCAATAGATTTAATAATAAATAAAAACCTTTAAAAATATTCTTGTTTTATCTGTAATATCAATTAATAAATCTGTAATTATACAGATCTTTAAACAAATATTCTGTTTCAAATCAATATAAACATAAGAATTGAAGAGAAGGATGGTCCAAACTTCAGGCCTTCATCAGGGCTAAGAAAAGAACCACATAACAATAGCTATGAGAAATTATAAACATTGAATAATAAAGAATTAACATACAAAAAGGTGAAAGGTATAGACTAGAAAATTTAGGTAGAAAAAAGTTAACGTAAAACGAAGTAGACAGATTGAACATTAAAGTAAAATAAAGTAGATAGAACAATAACAGTAACAGAGAACTAAGAAATAAATAATAACAACGGCAACAAAGTGCAGATTAATGAAATAAACATAATCAAAATAAGGTTACATAAGAAATGAAAAATGGTAATTTTAGAATAAAATGTGAAACAGAGAAAAGGAATATGAAGTTATATAAGGAAATAATAGATATAAATAGAAAATTGAGATATTGTAAATTCTATAAAAAAAATACTGACAACTTATAAGAGAATAAAAAGTTAAAATAATGTAAAAAAGATGAATGAGCAAATGTATCAATATGTACAAAATAAAGAGAGAGAGCTAATGCATATTGATTTCTCTATCTACTTCATTTTACTTTAAGTTTTTTCTACCTACATTTCTAATCTATACCTTTCACCTTTTTAATTTTTATTCTTTATTTTTTTAATGTTTATAGTTTCTTTAATTAAAAATTAAACCAAATATACAATTTATTTTTCTATAATTGATTTTTCTATATTTTTTGGGGAATTATTTTGACTTTGATCTGACTGCTACATTCATTTGAATAGAACCACAGAAAATAAATACATAAATAAATAAAAACAATCCGGTGCACTGCGCTCATCACACAATTTTCAACTTATCACCCTCTTCTTAGCAGAAATAAATATTTTCAGACAAAGGGAAAGTGAAAGTAAAAATTATAAATGCTATATTGATTTATATTTCATTATGGGTATTTTTATTTGTATAATGTACCCTTATATATACACTAATTTTAATATTTATATCGCTGTAATCTATACAATTAAATATTAAATAATACCAACAATAGCATTTATCGCATATGTATATTTACATAATATTCTCTGAGTCCTTATTATATTAAGCTCATGTTATGGATGGAAGCGTGTTCTAATCTTTCGGGCGAGCTCAGGTGCGCTGGTATTCCTTTGGTTCTTCAATTACTACTATTCTCCGTTACGATCTCATTTTTCTCCTTTAGTTAATTATCAAATTCTTTCATATTTTATATTAGAGATTAATATGAAATGGTCAATTGTTCCAAATAAAAAAATCACAGGTACTTTATGGGAAGCTAATATTGAAAATTAGCCATTTAAGCCCTTTTAAAGAGCATCAATCAGAATAAAACTTATATTTTATTTAAAACTGCTCAATTTTACACTGATAGTATGAATTTAATCAAAATCGTTATAGCCGTTTTTGAGAAAATTGTAAAAAATTTTAATCCATGATATAAAGGGCCACTTCCAGTTTTTCGATTTTGAAGAAAAAGTTGCTCTAACATCCCAAGTATAAACCTTAAAAACCTTAAATCCCAAGTATAAACCTATAAAAACCTTAAATCCCAAGTATGAACCTTAAATATGCAATTTCCCTTTTGTACAACTTTTCGTTTTTGAGCTAAACTGTGAACAGACACACAGATCATTTTGAGGGACTTGGTTATTTGGACTCAGAGGACCTCAAAACATATATTTCTGTTGAAAACTCAGATTCCAAAATTTTTACGATCGCAATATTTTCCCTTACTGTATATTTCATATATAGGTAAGTGAAAGTAAAAAATTGACTGATAACCATTTTTTTTTAAAAAAGATTAATTTACACCGTTCTTTATTCTTTAAATAATAATATTCTAAATTTTGTTACGAATGGGACTTACAGAGCAATAAAAAAGACAATCGTCTGGCTAACCACAACCACCAGAAAAAATGCTTCAGGGAATGGAGTGTTTATTGCGTGTATGTAGACCTGGGAAAACACAAATCCGGAAAGCAATGGTACAGTTGTATCAGTCACTGATAACAATGCAAATGCCTTTCCTGAAATAAGAAATAAATGTTATACTATTGTAAAACTTATTAGAGGTATCAAAAATTAATCAAGTAACTTTCAGAAATTATAATTGATTTGTATAATCTTTTAATTAGGAATAATTTTAAGATATTCAAAAGTAACATATACAAAAAGTTAACTGAAGCAATGGCATTCTTTATTTTTTAATTGTATTGAATCAATGTTACCTCTTTCTGATTGAGGAACTAATTTAGATGTCATAGACCTCAGGACTGGAGCAACTACTGGACCCAAAGTAGAAACTGCAGCTCCTAAAAAATATTTACAATTTAAAATGTCCAAATGTTCAATTTAAACAGGATTAACAAAAGTTAGTTGACAAGTTATATTTAAAAATGGAAAGTTGTAAACCAGAACAAAGAAGATTTACGGGTCAGAATGAATAATGAAATTAGAAGAAGACCTCCAATGTAGGCAAATTCAATTCAATTAAATTATTATAATAAAATAGTTGGTCCGTGTGAATAATTCGCAGAAAATTTTGTTTAGTGAAGAAATAGCTAAACAAAATGGAAATAAGCAGTAAATAAATAGTTGGAATAGAAAAAAAAAAATAAGTAGTTCCTAGGTTGTTTACAATCTTCCATTTAACATAATATACCAAAATATTTGTGCAAATTGCTTTGCTAGGACCTATTTTTAAATGCTGACTGGAAAGATAATAAAAGTAATAAAGACAAAATAATGCCCTGATCATGGGATATTCTAAATTATTAAAAAAAAATAAAATGTAAGAACAACCAAATGCCTTTAAGGAATAAAGTTAATATATCAGTCAGGGAAAAAAGTGTAGTAGACTATTCTACTCCTAAATGCAATATCTTTAAACAGGAAGACATTATTAAGTATACCAAAATTAATAATTGTCCAAATTTTTTCTCTTTCTTTTGTAGGTTATTTAGTAATCTTTCTAATTATCATGGGTACAATCAAGAAAAAATGCATACTTTTTGAGTTATTCGCAAATAAAGTTTCTTTTCTTTCATAACTTTTTTTCCAGAAATTTCGGGGGGATAGGACTATTTTTTGCATGTGAAGGAGAAGAATATCTTCAAAACGAGTGGTCAATCATTGGATTTGATGAAGTATGGCGTACTTACAAAAAAAAAAACCTTTTAGAAATAAAATATAGGATGGTATCATATATTGACCGCTACTCCGGCCAACTCCTTTTCAAATTATAATCACAGTCTGCTTAATAATTTTTGTATTAAAGAAGTTTCTAGATATACAAGGCAATGGCTAACAAAAAAGGGATAACTACATTTTAATTAGTATATACTTCTATTGTAATATATGACCTAAGTTTATTATTTTATTGTCTGACAGAAACTAATTTTTAATAAAAAGATTATCATTCTTTTGTGCTACCAACAAAGTTTTATTTTATTTTCTTAGAGTAATGAACAAAAGTAAAATTAATGTTTCATAAATACATTGAAATAATTCATCAAAAATGTTTATATATTTACCTACATAATACCATTCAGGAGCTTGAGCAATGATGAAAATAACTCTTGCAGAAATATGGCATGTTGCTCCAATGATCATAATAAAAGTATCTCTTAGCTGAAAACATTTCTGAAGAAGTGGAATGCCGACTAGTAATCCTAAAAAATAATTGAACTTGAAAAAAAATACAATAATTAACATTTATTTGTAAGCCAAACTAATTCTTATAAGTAGGCATATACTTTACATGAGAGAGATATCTATCATTATTATTTTAACGTTTTAAGCCATTTGCACCTGCGCTGCAGCACACCTAGCAAAATTGATGAATTAGGCATTGACTGCGAGTTTGCTTGATTAACATAATTTTGTTATTGTTGTAGGAGTAGGCCATTTTCTTTTTAGACTGCATCGATCAGGTAACAGGGAGGAAGAAAGAGAACGAATGGATTTGGATGATTGAGAGTAGAAGAATGAAAATAATTGTATTTGTCGTGGATGAACGAATTTTACTCTTGGGATGTTTAAGTCGTTATGTAGAGTGCTATTTGAAATGTACCAAGGTGGATTGACAATTTTCCGTAGAATTTTTTATTGTGTTGTTTGTAATTTATTAATGTGTGTTTGTTTTGCCGAATCCCAAAGTTCTGCTCCGTATTTCCAAATTGGTCTCAGTATGATGTTGTATATCAGTCACTTGTTTCTTAAGTTAAGTGAGGATCTGTAGTGTAGAAGTTGCGAGAGTTGGTTATATCGTCTAGTCAGTTCTTGTCTTTTTAATTTAGTATGTGTGTTCCAGGTAAGTCTTTTGTCTAATTAGAGTCCGAGGTATTATACATAGTTTTTTTAAGGCACTGGGTAATTGTCAATCGAAATCATTAAATTAAAAAAAAAAATTAACAAAAAGATACATTTGAAAGGTTGTAAATATGCTTTATGTTTATCAAAAATATCATTCAAGCTTACCTAAAATGAATAATGCTGACTGAAACGTTCTGAAATTGCTGTAATTTTTTACAGTCCAATTAAATTTTAACTGGGTATAGAGTTGCATCATGCGGCTTTCATCTATAAAATAAAGATAAACAATTTTTTTAAAAATATTATTCGATATCTGATCGAAATTCAAAGTAAATCTTTAAAAAAATATATTGTAATGTACACCTTTATTACAAGTGAGTAAAAATGATTTAATGAATTAATGTTGAACAATTAAAAGGCAAGCTAATATAGTTCTACTAGTGCAGAGAAAAGAAAATGGCTGCTCTGTAGTTTCCCAAGATGGAAAATCCCAAAGAGGAGAGGGACAAAGGTTTTTGTTTTGGCAAGCAGTTGTTGTGTGGCTGCAGTGAAGACAGGATAGGAGAAGTGATCCTGGCTCCAGTGGGTAAAACCCAGAAATAGTATTACCATCTTGGAAGTTGGGTTTGGCAGAACATTAGAAAGCATTTGAAGACAAATAGATTTAGTGCAACAAAGGAAGAAATAGTATCTATAGAAAAAAGGTTAGCTTGCCAATCCATACTAGAATTTATTATAAAATCAGTGTTTAATTTTAGTATAAATAGTGTAAATAATAATAGTTTGTCTGAGTTGATCTGATTGTCAGTAACCCATACCCGAGATAAATAAATATATTAATACTCTTATAATTTCGTTTATTATTTAAGAACTTCTTATTTATTTAGGAAGAATCCCAATGTATAAAGTGGTCTACCACGAGGTTATATTATTATTATTTTAAAATATAAGAGGGATGTTACAATATATATTAAATATGAATCAATAAAGTCAAATTACAAATATATCAAAATTATTTCTACATAATTTAAATATATACATCATGTTGTTAAGTTTAACCCTTTGACTGCAGACAGGGGATATATGCCTTGCATTGCGTAAAGAGTTCAGTCACTGCAGACGGAATATATGCCTTCCCAGTAGTGAGTCGCGTCACTGGTGCGGTCGGGATATATGCCTTCTCGTCTAGGCGGTAGCCACTTAAACAGGTAGGAGCAAGTCCGGCTTTCACCATTGGACTTGTGGCTTGGTCGGTGCGTTCATTAGTCCCTTGTAGCTGACTTAGTGTAGTCGTTCCGGATCCTGACCATTTGGAAGCTTTCAGTAGCAGATTTATTCTGAACCCAAGGTATGTCCTTCTTCTGTTATTTGTGTCATATCCATGATCTTATTTATATTATATTTAAATGTTTTATAAATAAAGTAATTGTTAATATGTAATAATAAAAATCAGTAAATATAAAAATATACAGAATTAAAATGATGCTTTATCATTTTTCCATCCACCTAAAAACAATATATATAAAAAACCTGTACCGCTACAACTCATGAAGGGTCTTGGGTTCAGTACTATTTACTGTAAGTATTGTTTCTTACTCAACAGTTGTGCAAGGAGGTGATTTGACTGAGATTACGCTCAACCGCCAGGTTTTTCCCCCCACTAAGGGTACCCACTTTATAAAGGCTGGGTGTGCCTCAGGAGGGTCTCGTAATCTCAGGGTCGCCCCACGGCCAATGAAACAGAATAAATAATTTTTCTGCCATGAGCCGGGATTCGAACCCATTGGTTCGAAGCATTGGAAGATCAGTGCCCTACCACTGAGCTACCCCACTCCCAAAAACAATCTATGTATTTCATATAATATAAAAGTGTTTGAAACTCATAATAAATGTAAGTGCAATAATAAAATTTATAACTGCACTATTTTTAATTTTTTTCAACAAAAAAAAAAACAAAGAAAACGATTGAACTTTTATTTACAATTGGTTTAACAAACATCTTTTCTCATTGGTATGGTAATGATATTTTAAAAATAAATAAAAATCTATTGATTTATATTTATATAGTTTTAGGAAGCATTTCGAGCACATTTACATTAAAAGCAATTTATAACTTAACAGAAATAAATAATACAATGAGCAACAACTAGATGTTACTATATTTCAATATTTCTTATGTTGATATTAAAATCTAACTATTAAAATTAATATTTAAAAAAAAAAATAATAAACAAACAAATTAAATTGAAAAAGTCTACAAGACACTGAGATATGCAATTAAGTCTATGATAATAAAAATCTGGTGTGGTGCGCGCATCACACAACTTTCACTTACCACCCTCTTCTTAGCAGAAATAAGTATTTTCAGGTAACCTATGATTATGACACAATGATAGTTACTGATATGAACATCGAAACTTCACATTTAGCCAGCATAATATTTTTTTTTTTAATATATTGTAACACCCCTCTTATATTTTACAAATAATAATAATAATATAAACTCATGGAAGCTCACTTTATACTATTGGGATACTTCCTAAATAAATAAGAGGTTGTTAAATAATAAACAAAATTATAATAGTATTTTCAAGTTAATTTATTGTTAGCCATATTTACACCAATTTAAAAAAAAATTTTGTCACTTAATGACTACTCATCAAAATGACGACGTTTCGGCTCGTCGAGCCATTTTCAAGTCTAAAAAAATTTTTTCATTTACAATCATATATTAAATTTTAACATATTTCAAATTATAAAGATACTTATTATGTACCTAAAATACCCATCATGTACCTGTCCTTTTCCCTTATGCGAATTGCAAGCGTCTACAATATAATAAAATTCATTATTATTGTCATGTTCACCTTTAATTATTTAACAACATTATTATTACTCATCTTTACTATTACATGATTCAAAATAAGTTAAATTTACCATGTTTCTGAGTCACCCACATGTCATCCATCTCATTTCTATTCAGTGACTGGTTATTCTTATAGGAGTAGGGGAAGACTATTTATTATGAACATATATAATGCTGTTACTCAATATTACATGTGGATCTATTTTAAGTAATATTAGCTGATTTATTTCAAATTTTGATTTTTTCAATAGAACTAGCATAAAAAGTATTCATATTATCCACGTCTGTATGATTATTTACTGAGTTTTTTAAGTTTTTAGTTATGTATATTGATTCTTTAATTCTACGTTTATTCGTATTTCTTTCATTATGTAGGATTTTGGCATTTTTGAAATCAAACTCATGTTTAGTTTGCATATTATGTTGTGAGAGTCCAGTAGCTAATTTAATTTTTGTGTTTTTTGAATTACAATTTTGTTTATGCTGTTTAAGCCTTTTTTCAAACCATTGGGATGTTTGTCCAAAATATGCTTTGTTGTCGCAATTCTTACAATTTATTTTATAAATAATATTCGTTAATTTATCGATAGGTACTTTATCTTTAGTTTTCGAATAAATTGTATCTAATTTATTAATTGGTTTGCTTGCAAATTTAATTTCATTTACATCGTATTGTTTAAATGTTCTTTCAATTTTATCAGTTAAGTTTCTAATATATGAGACGCTAAAATATTTTTTAGGTTGTTGTTTGTTCCCATTACATTTTTCAATTTGTGTCTTAATGTCATGTATATCGTTCATGGAAGGTTTTTGTTTTACTGCATTTTCAGTTTTAAAATAATTTGTTATTAAATTCGGTTCTTTATTAATTTTAATATTTTGCTTCACTTTCTCACTCCTATCATTGCTAATGTCAATAATCTGTTTGTTACTATTGTCATTTATAATTAACTTTTTATTCTCATACCATAATTTATTAATTAATCGAATGGGGTACCAATTTTCTAATAGAATTTGATATATTTGTGCTTTGATTTCTTTTATATGGTTTTGATCTGTTATTAATTTTGCCTTATTTATTAAATTTTTAGCTGTGTTAATTATTATATGTTTCTTGTGGTTACTGTGCCAGTTTAGGATTCTATCACTAGTTATTGTTTTTTTGCACCATGCCGTGCTAAGATCGCCTCTTTCATTTCTGTGAATATACATATCAAGATATCTTATTTTGTTGTTATTCTCCAATTCCATTGTGAATTTTAGTTTATCTGATATATAATTTAGTTTATCCAGAAAATTAACAGATTCATTTTTATTTATTATTGCAAGTATATCGTCAACGTATTTTATAATAAGCTTCGGTTTTTTTCCCCATTTAATTATAGCATTATCTATTAGATTGTTCAGATATATGCCCGAAAGATTGATTGACATACATCCGCCCATCGGTAGACCATTTTTCATTTTGTAATAATAATTATTATAGGAGAAATAGCCATTTTCGCAAATTAATTTGATTCCTTCCATAAAAACGTTTTTATCTTTTATTTCTGTGTACGGTTCTATTTCATCCCACCGTTTTTCCAGTATTCTATATATTTCATTTAGTGGAACATTCGTAAAAAGGGATTCCGCGTCATAGCTTACTAGATTTTCGTTTTCCTCTATCCTATTTATACTATTAATTTTTTCTTTTACTTGCATTGCATTCTTCACATCGTATATATTATTATTGTTTAAGTTGTTTAAGGCTGAGTTTAGGAATTTAGCCAATTTTTCAGTAATGCCATTTATATTATTTACAATTGGTCTAAGAGGTCTGTCATTTTTATGTAATTTGCTCAGACCATGTATTCGCGGTATAGTATAATGTCTAGTTATGAGTTTTTCTTTATCCTTTTCATTTATAAATTTCATTTTCATTAATTTATTTATATATGTCAAGGTTTTATCCTGGATTTCATTTGAAGGATCTTTCCTAAGGCATCTATATATTAGGCGTTCATCCAGTAGATTGTGCATTTTTTTATCATACTCAGTCTTATTAATAATCACGGTTTTCTTAGTTTTATCTGATTTTATAATTAATAATTCTGGATGGTTTTTAAAAAAAATTTTTGTTTCTATTATGTCTTTGTTTATTTTTTTGTGTAGGAGTTGGTTTGAGATATTTTGTTTATTATTGTTTTTGTCAATAAAATCATTTATGTGGTTATTTACTCTATTTCTAATTATATTTTTGTGATTATCAGGTGTGTTGATAGTTCTAATTATATTTTCGACGTCCGCTATTATATTAACTATTTCCCTGTTGTATTTATAAGGTATAATGTTGAATTTATCCCCTAATGATAATAGATTTAATATGTTTGTTGTAATATCTGTTTTAGTCGTATTAACCACCCAACCTTTTGTGTGCAATTCTTCATAGGATTTTATGATGTTATTACGGTTTATACAATGTTTATTTGTGAGTCTATTGTCCAAATTCTTAGTCATAAAGGATACCGTATTATTATATTTAATATCAGCGTATGGTTTTTTAATAAAGGCTTTATATGGTCTTTTACATTTCTCTTCTAATCTCAATCTATGGAATTTAACATAACTATTTTTGTAATTCGCAATTAGTTTATTAACCTCATTATATATGTTCATATGTATGTCCCTTAATTCATTTAAAAATATTTCATGATTTTTGTTATAGGTGTTTAATGCCCAATAACATTGTTTTATTTCAAGTAGTAAACAATCTCTTGCTAATTTACATTTAGCCAGCATAATATTTTTTTTTTTAATATATTGTAACACCCCTCTTATATTTTACAAATAATAATAATAATATAAACTCATGGAAGCTCACTTTATACTATTGGGATACTTCCTAAATAAATAAGAGGTTGTTAAATAATAAACAAAATTATAATAGTATTAATATATTTATTTATCTCATGTGTGTGTTACTGACAATCAGATCAACTCAGACAAACTATTATTATTTACACTATTTATACTAAAATTAAACAATAATTTTAAAATAAAGTTAAGTATGAATTGGCAAGGTAACCTTTTTTCTATATGCACTGTTTCTTGCTTTGTTGCACTGAATTCATTTGTGTTCTGACACTTTTCAAAGTTCTGCCAAACACAACTTCCAAATTGGTGACACACTTCTACTCAAACTCAAGGTATCTGGAATATGCTCTCTTTTGTGATTCCAAACAACTAGTCTCTCTGCCAAACAACTTCTAAGAAGGTAAATCTATTACTGGGTTTTTCCCACTGGTGCCAGGATCACTTCTCCTATCCTCTCTTCACCACAGCCACACAACAACTGCCTGCCAAAACAAAAACCTTTGTCCCTCTCCTCTTTGGGATTTTCCTTCTTGGGAAACTACAGAGCAGCCATTTTCTTTTCCCTGCACCAGTAGAACTAGATTAACTTGCCTTTTAATAGTTCAACATTAATTTATTAAAATCTTTTTATTCACTTCCAATAAAGATTACAATATAAATATTACAACCTAGCATTTTATAGCTATCTCTGTTAATTTTTTTTTAAATTTAATTTTACATCAAAAACTGGCATTTAAAATTCATTGCTACAAATAGTAAAGAAATCTTTTACAACTAACCCCTTTGCAAGGTATATACAGCCATACCTATTAGACATAAAATAAATATCATCCTCCGTCCTTCCTTTCTTTTTACAAACAATGTCTTCAGTGTGTCGACAATATGGCCGAGCGAACAGGCATTGCGTTCATCTTTTGGAGGATCGCTTGTTCTCCAAGGTATTACCAATAATGTATAAAATATAGCGATTAATAAGATTACGCAATTGATGAGGAACATACCTTCGAAGGAAATCTTTAAAGGACCATTATATAAGTAAGAACCTGCAAAAGGAAGCATTATTAATATAAAATAATTGAATTTTATCTTAGTTATTTATACTAATATATAAAGCTGAAAAGTTGGATTTTTTGAACTCGTTAATTTCTGGAACTATCTGTCCAATTTGAAAATTTTCTTTTTGTATTAGATAGACTGTTTATTGAAAAATACTTCTGCCTTTATAACACCTCGTTATACTCATAGAAATGGAGGAGTAACCATAAACATTGATCAATCTAAAAAACTTTGGTAACTATGCTAGCATAGCTTTCCATGGATATTGTTTACAGTAACAATAAATAAAGTACAGAGACAAACTTTAAAGCATATTCGAATCGACTTAAGAGAAGACTATTTTTCCCACAACCTTATCTAGATCAAATTATGGAAAAACCAATTTAACACCAGTAGGCATTGAAAACCTTTTATAACTCTAATTTGGTAAATTTTACAAAAAAAAAAAAATAAGTATAAATAAAAAAAAGGTATAAATTCAAGCAGTCTTAGTCCCTATAGTTTTAACGAAATAGTACAAAAATTAATACTTATTATTAATTAAATGAATTTTTATTGGAAAAATAATGATATAATCTACAACAATCAAGGGCATTAGGTATTATAGTTCTATGTGTACATTCATACTATTTGTATAGAAATTAAAAAACAAAGGAAAAAATAAAATATAATTAGAACAAAATATAATAATAATAAAAGAATGAAATAAATAGATGATAATATTGAGAATACAAATTACATTAAAAGAATAATATACAGAAAAAAATACTTGTAAAAAGGAAAAAAAAATACATTGAAAGAATAATTAAAAGAAAAAAAAAATACTTGTCACACATTCATACCTACCTACAATATTTACATTCAGCCTGGTGAACTCAGAACCATGCTTCGCCGCTCTCATGTGAAAGGCAAAGCAGGGTTCAAAGAGATCCCAGTGCTTCTCTCCCAACCACGTCACTGTTTGAAAACCAGTTGAGATTGAGTGAGAACGCTAAAGCCACATACATTCAGGACTTGAGTGAAGAAGCCAGCCACTGCCAGAACTCCAATAGAATATTTACAAAAGATCTCGGAGCCATTGCTGTTTTAACATATGGATGGTTGGAGCTGGGAAGGGATTGTGATAAGTTTTCACTGACTACCATCAATATATTTATACCAAAGGAAGAAAGAACTAGATATATTGTTTACACTAAATGCTTCTTTAAATACTGCCCATATAATCGCTTCTTATATATCCAGTTCCCAAACACGTTGTAAATAGGTATTTCTGTAAAAAGTGTAAATATGTATATTCATTTTTAGTTAGTTTTTAATAATTACTAGTAGGCCCGTGCGAAAAATTCGCACAGCATATTGTTATCAAATGCCAAATTAATAATAAAATAAAATAATGCAAGGTATCAAAAGATAAAGAAATCAAATGTTACTTTATAGATAAATATAATCGACAAAGAAAACAAAAATTAATTTAAATCTTCATTTTTGTTTGGAACCAACATGTTCACAAATTTCAGAAAGCTGTATCTTTGTTAAAAATAGTCCAATTTCAATGATTTTTTTTTCCTTTTGTAGGGGATTTAGTAATCTTTTACATGATCATGGGTGTAACCCAGGGAAAAGTGTGTAATTTTTTAGTTACTCGCAAATAAAGTTTCTTTTCTTTCATAACTTCCTTGCCTGAAGGAGAAGGAAACCTTCGAAATTGGTGGCTCAATCTTGAGCTTTGGTGAAAAATTAACGATGATATGGATTGCCAATCAAAAACACCATCGATAAATAATATAAACTCCTCCTCTCTCGATCATAGAGACCTCAAGTCGATGAAATGAGGCATGTATTAAATGACAGTATCACAATTAATGTAAGGCTGTGTGGATGCGAACCCTATGCCTTGTGTTATCTTGAAAATAGTACGTTTTTTTGGGCTTAAAAACGCAGGATCCGATAGTTCCAGAGGAACTGTCAGAGGCTTTGAGCATTACAGGAGCTTATATTTGGTACCAAATCGATTTCGAGCCTTACTGTAATAATATATGTGGGGATTATTTCACCTTTCTTTCATTTTTTTTTAAAGAATTTAATTTATTTTTTCTATTATTTCTCCTTGTTTATTTTTTTATTCTTTTTTTAGAAAACTCTAAGACTAAATCTCACAATTCTGTTATTATATTTTATTCTAAAGGGACATGTTCCAGAATAAATAAAGCACATTATTATTATTGTTAAAGTTATTGTAAATATTTGAAAACTTACTGTAAAAAAAAAAAACTTTTTTAGCATAAAGCCATCAAATTAACCATAATTCAATCAAATTATATATTAAACTAAGCCAAGTTATGCATTCTAATAAATATTTTAAAAAAACGTACCAAGAGCTGTACCAATCGGCATAGGCAACAAATAAGCTACTTCCAGCAGTGTTGTCCTAACGGTTCTTTGATCAACAGGTGTTGTATCCGAGAGATAAGCAAAGCAAGCCATGAAAACGGACAAGTTCATTCCAGTTAGTGCAGAAGGAAAACAGGCGGTATAAAGAATTGTCTCCAGTGGCCATCTCTCTAACGATAAAAATAATACTATTTGTGTAATTTATCAGAGATTTTTATTTATTTATTATTATTAGTGTTCGTTCAGTATTCATTGAAAATTTGAGGGAAACATATAATCAAATAAACAATAAATTTTATAAAAAAAGAGTAAATCATACTTTAAAAATCCTCATTTATTAATAAAAACAAAATTTCAATTTCCATTAAAAATCAAGCTTAAACTACTTAAAATTATTTATAAGTAATACAAAAAAGGAGTTATTCCAAAATATTTAATTTCCATTTTGATTAATGTATGTTATTATCACAATAAATTAATTTTATGATTATACTAGTAAAAAATATATATATAATTTTTTTTTTAACTTTTATTATGATATTTACAACTGTATTAGTATGAATACATCAAGTAAATGTGTACATAGGAATATTATCACATGAAACACGCTTGTTGAGAAACTACCCATTGGTAGCACTCTAATAATTTGTCTACATGAGGAGATCACGAGGCCATCTCCTTTTCAGACTCCTCGGAGGATTATTAGGAATCGAAGAGGAAGCAAGGTTAGAAACAAGAGGATTCGGATGGTTATGAAGTTTATTATGGAAGGATAGGTATCTGGATTTGGCCAAATCGGAAACATATGGAACATTGAGGTCTTTATGGATTATTTTATTTGTGACAAAGTAAGGAGCATTGAGGATTTTGGATTGTAAAGATTGGATACGAGAGAAATTTGATGGTTTAGTGGAGCCCCACAGCTCAACTCCATAAGTCCAAATAGGTCTTATTATAGTCATGTATATGAGTCGTTTGTAATTCATTGAAAGTTTAGAGTGTTTGTCAAGTAAGTGTTGGAGTAAGCGGAAACGTCGAGCAGTTTCTTGTCGTTTCAGTCTTGTATGAGGATTCCAAGTGAGACGTTTGTCCAGCTGGAGTCCTAGGTATTGGATTTGTTCTACAGGGATAAGTGGGGTGTTATTAAAAGATACTATAGGACAGCAAGTCATTGGTTTACGACGAAGGAGAAAAAAATATATATATATTCAAATTAGCAATTTCAATTCAGTTTAAATCAATTTTTATGTAGAACTTCTCTGTAAACAATGTTCTTTGTGAATTTTCTGTTATTGTTTAGTAAGTAGCCTTATCAATTGCCATTGGGAATATAAAGTTTTGAACTTTTAAACATACGTGCTGTAATTGCTGCCACATATTAATGTCTATACAAAAAAACTGGACATCACAATAATATTCCAACTTTTCCAAACATTTGACCCTGCGATTTGTTTATAGTCTGGGAAATACATCTACTACTGAGAACTGTGTTGTTTGAAATTTGGGTGGAATATTGTTCCAGAAAATTAATTCTTGGAATTAAAATTCTTTTATTTACAGCACCTCCCATTAATACTTTACTCTCATTCGTGTTCCATTAACTAAAGCTTGAGTTGTATTTAAGTTACGAATAAGCGTAACTATAGAATTTAATTTTAACTTTAATTTATGAGGTGCCATTCCATTAACATTCAATGATATCATCTCTTCAAATAACAATATCGATTACTTCAGTAAATGTAAAGTATCAAAAACCAAAATAAAGGAAATCGTCTTTGAAAAATAAAAAGTACTAAATATTTAAAACAAGATATCCCTGCACCAAATAGTCCGACTTTGATGATTTTTTTTTTCATTTTGTAGAGAATTCAGGAAGCTTTCAAACAAATATGAGTAGTATCAGTAAAATTGTGTACTTTTTGAGTTATTTGCAAGTAAAATTCTGAATTCATCCTAGAAATTTATGCAGCTTGTTTTTTAAAGTATGTTATATACATAAATTATGAAGGTTTCAAAGGGAAAAGTTTAGCCAAGTTCCATTATAATCATTGCAGCCATTATGGCGCTACAGTCTAAAGCAAATCACATTTTTTGCCCACCATGTCGAAAGGAAAGGCTGAATGATAATGAAATGTATACAAAAACACTCTTAAATCTGATTGCGACGTTGTATCAAAATTTCAAAGAAATTTTATTTATATACACTATTTCATATTTGTATTTATTGATAACACTAAAGATCATCAATAGCTATTAAACAAAAAAAAAAAAGAAGGAAGAAAATCGTTTGAATAATAGAGGAGAGAAAGGGGCTGAACCATTTTGTGTTTGCCTATTTATATAATGGTTACTTTTACTCATTCTAAATGAATTAAGTTCAATTTTAGTATATAAATCACTAGATAGCTTCAAATTTATATTTATCAATGAACATTTGAATTTAGCACATTAAGAGCTTTATTGGAACCAAAGAAGAGAAAATATTAAGTAAAAAAAAAATAAATAAATAAGACAACATAAGTTTCTACTGAATTTAAATTGTACCATATAGGAAGTATCACAACCATTGATCCAATGCTCTACTCAAGATCACTAAGAAATTATAATTATCAAATCCCCAAATGTTTTTTATTTGGGAGAAAATAAACATTCTTCTTTTTTCTCAACAACATTTTTAAAAATAATAAGAAAAAATTTCTTTTCTGCTGGAATAAAGTAAGGTATGTCCTTGAAACCAAAATTTGGAAACAATTTCTTAGCAGCACGACACGAGGGTTTTATGCTTACAAAATGTTCCCAAAGATATTACATGATGAAATCATTATCTTGGCTAATAATAGAAATACTCACCAAATATAGTGTTGAGAAACAGAGCAAAATAATATATTAAGCATCCGAAAAGACCAAGAAGTAAGGGCAGTTTGCGACCAACACGGTCACTCCACCCACCGAGAATGAATGCAAGAATGAAAGGTATAGCATTAGATGCCACCCCTTCATATTGAAAGAATTTAGAAACCTCAACCTGAAACATTACAAAATAATTTTATTTCTTATGAAAACTAAGGAGAAGATATTCAGGTTCTCTAAGATCTTTATTATTATTCAATCACATTTGGTTGCAAAACATAATTTTGAAAGAAAAATTAAAATTTATTCATTTGATAAAATTTAAAATTTTGTATTAATTCAAATTTATCCAAGTATCCATTAAGTCTAAGTTTCTCAGTATCAATTGCTCACTAAATATTTCATGTATTAGAAAGACAGTTTTTGAAGATTGTTAACATCACTTTCATTATTGAATAATATTTTTATAACAATTTTATAGTAAAAATCAAAACCCATTTTATATACTTTTTCACAATATTAAGCGCTGAACTATATCCCAGAAGAATATATTAACTTATCTAATATATTAGTTGGCATGCCGAGTTGAAGTGGCTCTATCCAGTCTTCCAACAACAATATTTTCTAAATGTATTTCTTTTCCAAACCTTTACAGCCAAAAAAATCTACTTGTCTTCTTGATGTAATTATTCCTAGTTCCTCCGTCCATTCTCTCATCACAAGACCCCAGCCCACAAACCTGTATGTTCATTCTCATAGAACAGCTTCCTTTATAATGAGGGCTACCTTGCTTTGGAATTCCTTATCTACCTCAATACGCAAAACTTCATCTTTGACTTCTTTTAAACACCAAATTATTTATGCATCTCTTCAGCAATCAATCTTCCGAATATATTGAAGAATTAAATTTTCATATTTAAGTATCGTCAGCCTCTACAGTTATTTCAGAGTTATCTATATATTATCTGTCATTTTACAGTTACCTACATACTGTCTTATGTTCATACAGCTACCTATGTACCACAGGCGGACCTACGGGGAGAGATGGGGGCTTTTGGGCTGAAGCCTCTCCAAAACGGTAAAATGGTTTCTACAACCATGTTTTACAGAAAAAAATATTAAAAACTATCTCTTAAAGTATTCTTGTTCGTGTAATTACATTTAATAGGACTTCAAGAACCCCTTAAGCATCATTTCATATAGGTAATTAATTTCTTTCTTTTTTGTAATATACATCTATATTGGAAGTGGGTAAAAATGATTTAATAAATTAATGTTGAACAATTAAAAGGCAAGCTAATCTAGTTCTACTAGTGCAGGGAAAAGAAAATGGCAGCTCTGTAGTTTCCCAAGAAGGAAAACCACAAAGAGGAGAGGGACAAAGGTTTTTGTTTTGGCAGGCAGTTGGTGTTTGGCTGGGGTGAAGAGAGGATAGGAGAAGAGATCCTGGCTCCAGTGGGTAAAACCCAGAAATAGTATTACCATCTTGGGAGTTGTTTTTTGACAGACTCACTAGTTGTTTGGAATTACAAGAGAGAAGATCTCCCAGGGAGCTTGAGTTGAGTTGAAGCAAGTGTCACTATTTTGGTAGTTGTGTTTGGCAGAACATTAGAAAGCATTTGAAGACAAATGAATTTAGTGCAACAAAGGAAGAAATAGTATCTATAAAAAAAAGGTTAGCTTGCCAATTCATACTTGACTTTATTTTAAAATCAATGTTTAATTTTAGTATAAATGTGTAAATAATAATAGTTTGTCTGAGTTGATCTGATTGTCAGTAACCCACACCTGAGATAAATAAATATATTAATACTATTATAATTTTGTTTATTATTTACAAACCTCTTATTTATTTAGAAAGTATCCTAATAGTATTAAAGTGATCTTTCAAGGTTATTTTATTATTATTTGTAAAATATAAAAGACATGTTATTATATATAAAAAAAAATCTTTCTGGCTAAAGTCCCCCAAAATTAAATCCTGGATCCGCTAGTGCTATGTACTGTGTTAAGCAGAGGAGCCCATCCTCCCCAAGATCAATGGTGCAAGAACCTACTCTCCCCCCTCCTCCTCCCAAGATATTTTATTAGTCACCTTTTCTTAAAAACAAAGTAAGCTAAGGTAGAATTATAAGAATCGTAGATCATATATAATTACACATAATATATTCTATGTTTTCCCCTTGTCCCTTAGTCCGAAAATTCATAATCCTGTCAAAATATGCCCCCCTCAAAAATTTTGATGGAGCAACTTGTGCCATGCACCTCCCCCCTTTCCTTCTGGACACCCCTGGTGTTATATAACTATGTTTTACCGTTATTTCGCAGTTATCTATATTTTTTATCAGTACAACAAGGTAAACATAATAATATTTATCTCCTCTAATTTTATTCGTCTATTTATGCCTATCCTTTATATTAATTCTACAGTTAGATGACCCTGAATAAAATTTACTTTTCTTCTTCTTCTTCTTAAACTTAATCAAAAATAATTTTCAAAGGAAGATCCAATAAATTTAGTTAATGTTAATTTTTGCAAAATTGAATAGCGTTTCAACAATTATCAGCGTTTAAAAAATATTTAATTTATACGAATAAAGAACATAAGTAGATATTTGAATACCTGCACTAATTTATTGTAATTTTGATTAGCTTTGTCCATAATATGATCACAAACATTTTTTGGAAATCCCAGATTAACCGTACAGGCTTTAAAAATAAAAAATTGTTCCCCAACAACAGATGTCATCATATAGGCGCCCATATACAAAAACATCACTGGCTCTACTCCTATTATTGGGAATCTGTTTTTCATTTTAGCATTTTCTTGTCTTTCTTTAATAACCATCTTTCTTTTTTTTCTAGAACATATTGACATAATATTAAGATGTTTAAATACTGTTATATCTACTATAATTGTTTTATTTGCTAAAAAGACCATAATCACTAAGACTTAGGAACTTTAAGTATTCAAAAATTATACAATTTTAAATAAAACAATTGCATTAAGTTTAAACATTCTTATTAACTGTGCAACGGCTAGAAAATTATTTTCTGTGCCCGACAAGCTACGAAGGTCAAATAACATTTCATGATCCACACTTCTGATTTATGAGTTTAAATAAATTAAAAGAGAAAACTCTTAATTATATTATTGTATTTAGTAAAATATTTACCTCCTTTTTTGTGGGAATAGAAAATATTGATGCATTTATTTCATAAAGTATAAACTTTTGTTAATTTTCTTATTCTACTTTAACTTTATAATGTTAGGTGTTATATTTTTAAAAGTATTACAATTCATTTCAATATTTGATGCTTTTAGGCATTCTGAAGTTTAAAACTGATAGTTGGATTGAAATTCGATTAAATTAAAAGGACCATAGGATAAAATATTAATGATTAGTTAATTAATTTTTAAAATATTTATAGATATTCTCATTATTATAAGCAAAAAGAGTTATAATCACCTCGAAATAAAGAAGAAAATATATAGTAAAATTTAGGCAGATTTATTCACTATGTCAGGTCATTTTCTATTGATGATTCATATAAGAAAACACTTAAAATAATTCCAAAGATAAAACTATATATATACTAACAAGTGCTTCTATTATCATAAGCAAATAATTTTTAGTTGAGGACATCAACTTAATAGCTTATTCAAATAAGAATAAGATATGATATGAAGAAAAGCATTTCCGTTAACAAGAATAAAACAAATTAAATTTAAAAAATGGTCATATTCATCTCTCAAAAAACAGGTAAGAATAAGAAATTCCATCTTAACCGGTACTTTAAATATATTTATAAAAAAAATAATACAAAGTCTTAATGATTCCTCAATTTTTATGCTTTTATATTTTCATTAACTCTAATCAAATTTTTTTAAAATATTATTTTAATTATAATACACAGCCAAGGATATAATTTTTTTGTATGTTGAAAACTGCAATATACTGATGGCTAAAAAACATCAAACAAAAGGCGAAAATCATATCCTCCTTATGGACATTGCTGTGATATCCGTTACGTTCATTTTACTTTCCAATTCCATGAGAAAAACAAAAATGATGAGTTCCACTAAATTATCAACTTATTTGTTGAGTCAAAATTAGTTTAATTTGATTTGAAAGTTCTGAAAATTGATGTAATCCAAAAATAGTTTTGTTTGTTTCATGTTACTGCTGTTCAATTGGTATTGATAGTCAAGCCTGGCAATATAAATTAAAGACAAATAAAAAACTTTTAATTCCAGCCCTGAGACTAAATCACTAGCGGATCCAGGATTTAAGAATTTAATTTTTATGGGTGAGGGGCTTATTCAAAGGTCGTTAAGGAATGCAATAGAGCACTTAACGAGCTAACTGAGCACAACAGAGTTGCAGTGGAGTGGGTGCCAGGCCACTCTGGCATACCAGGCAACGAGATGGCTGATGAGCAAGCCAGGTTGGGCTCAGATACTATTCCTATAACTCCCGAGCTTGTCTGTGGAATCAGCCTCAGCACTGCCTAGGGCAGGATCAGGGAGATCTATGGCAACAAATTTAGGAATTACTGGACCGACAAGAAACAGAGACATTCGAAGCTGTTCCTTGAAGGCCCATGTAAAAAAAGAAGTAAACAGCTACTGAACATGGACAGAGCAGCTCTTAAAAAACTTACAGCGATCTACACAGGTCACTGTAAGTTAAATAATCATATGTTCAATCTCCGAGTAATGACGAATCCGCTATGCAGATTCTGTCAGGAGGAGAATGAAACAGCTTTTCACATCATATGCAGATGTGACAAGTTTATAAGGCTGAGACTGGCGTTATTTGGGGAGGAACAGATGGATCTCCCCAGTAGATTTGAGTCGGTCAACCCAACCAGCCTACTTAGATAAGCGGAAGTGACAGGACTAACGTTTTAAATAAGACGACCTAGTGAATATTGGCGCACAATGGACCCAAAGGGGTCGACGTGCTTAAAGCCAACATTAAAAAAAAAAAAAAAAAAATGAGGGAGGGGGGGAGAGGGCTTTAATTTAGTTTTAAATTACACTAGACTGAAATGACAAGAAACCGCTCAACATTTTCGATTACTTCAACAACTACTAGACAAATGCTCTAAACTTCCAATTAATTACAAAATACTCATATCCATGACTATAATAAGGCCTATTTGGACTTATGGAGTTGAGCTATGGGGCTCCACTAAACCATCGAATTCCTCTTGTATCCAATCCTTACAATCCAAAATCCTTAATGACCTTAATGTTTCTTATGTTTCAGATCTGGTCCAATCCTGATACCTATCCTTCCATAATAAACTTCAGAATAATCCCAACCCTCTTGTTTCTAACCTTGCTTCCTCTTTAATTCCTGATAACTCTCCGAGGTGTCTGAAAAGAAGATGGCCCCGTGATCTCCTAATGTAGACATATCATTAGAGTGCTACCATTCGTTAGTTTCTCAACAAGTGTTTTCACGTCATTATATCCATATGTTCAAATTTACTAAATGTATTTCTTTAACATAGTTGTAAATGTCATTAAGAAATAAAATGAAAAAAAAGTTTTAAATTAATGAAATTTAAGTCAAGTTTTTTATATTTTAAATAACTGATGAGAGGAGAAAACCAACTCTCACATCTTCTGGACTTCAGATCCTAACTAAACTTATGAAACAACTGACTGATCTACTACACTATACTGAGACCGATTTGGACATATGGAGCTGTAACTTTGAGGTTCAGCCAAATAAACACACATAAACAAAATCAAAAATTCTACAAAAAATTGTCAATGCACCTTGGTACATTTCAAATAACACTATACATAACAACTTAAACATCCCAACAGTAAAATCCTACATCCACGACAAATAAACTTCATTTCATTCTTCAACTCAAAATCACTTCAATCCTCCAGTTCTTTCTATTTCCTGCTCCCTCTTACCTGATCAATGCACACTAAAAAGAAAATGACCCAGAGACCTACTCCTACAATAATAAAAAAACCAAAGTAAATTAAGCAAATTTGCTGAAAATAACTATTACATCAAATTTGCTAGATAAGCTTCAGCGCAGGTGTCATTGGCATAGAATATTAAAATTAAAATTAAATAAATAAATTTAGGTATTATTGGAAAAATTCCAAACTGCAGACAAAGAAAAACTCCTCAATGTTTCGCCAATTCACTCCAAGTAGCGATGTTCTATTAGCCTGATGATGTCTGAATTGGCGAAACGTTGGTTGGTTTTTTTTTTTTGTCTGCAGTTTAGAGACATAACGCTGTGTGGATTGGAATTTTTCCAATAATAACCTAACATTTATGTTCTGTCTCTTGATTATTTCATTACTAAATAAATTTAGTTATTAGTTCGAATGAATTTAGAATGAAAAGATGAATTTTTCTAGAGCAGATATCTCCAAACTAGGGCCGTCGGCCTGATCCAGCAAGCACCTCTATTCAGGCCCGCGGAAGTTTCTTTGATTGCGTGGTAAAATTTTGAAAACAATTTTTTTTTTTAATTTTTGATCACCTCTACCCTAGGGGGTCATTGGCGGTAAATTTTTTATACTCTATTGTAGTATTAAGTTTCCATTAAGTATCGGAATAGAGTGACCACTCCGTCCTCGTTGTCTCCCAGTATTTTCTTCATTGCCACTGGTAATTTCAGTTTTTGACAAATTTTTTTGAACGTATGGCACTCTACTAATAGGTGTTTTACCGACTGCGGTTTATTGTTAAACTTTTGGCAAGTGGGTGCTTCTAGTCCTTTAAGAAGGTGCTCATGAGTAAACAGGCAGTGATCAATTTGTATTCAGCACAATATGGTCTCTCTTCTGGATTTTTTTGTGCTTGTAGCCCATTTATTGGACACTGTTTTTATCTATAATAGTTTTGACTGTTTGGTTTTCCATTTGTTTACCCAATCTTTCAACAACTTTTTTTTTGTCTCGTGTACCCAGTCTTCTACTGCGGTACTGTTTATTGAAAACTATGCCTCTCCGTTCCTTGCTAAATTAACTCCTTGGTCTGCTCTTTCATTGCCTGAGATACCACTATGCGATGGAGCCCAAACAAATACTGCACTGACAGTTCTTTTTTTTTCAATCCCCACCACAGATTCAATATATCTCTTATTAGAGAATCGCTTGGCCATGGATTATCAATTACTGCCATGACACTTTTGGAGCCGATGCTATAATCCATTTATTGTCACTGGACTATTTAAAAAATATGATTTTTAATAAATCACTTAAACACGATGTTACTACAACATTTATTGCATGAGTTATTTTTCTTAGAAAGCTCATTTCACAGCTGAAGTGTCATTTATAAAACAAGATTTTTTTTTTCATGATAAGCCATGGTCTGTGGGAATTGTTGGAGGTACTGATTTGGTCCATGGGCCAAAAAGTTTGGAGACTCCTCTTCTAAAGAGTTATAATACGAAAAAATAAATCCTTTTTCCTTTTCTTTCAATCTCTCCTGTAGATCTGTAGAAGTATATTCACATTCGCATATATTATATATTACACTACAACAATTGTTACCATCTATTTACTTCAGTTTAGGATCTTGTTACTTAGCTTACTCTGTTTATAATTTTAATAAGCTTATTCATATTGTTTATATTTTTTGTCTAAATATTATGTAACTTCCACAATTCTCAATATCTCTTTTTATCTTATCGGTTCTAGCCCTGAAGAAGACCTGCAAAGACGGGTCGAAACGTTGGCTTTTAATAAAATAATTTTGCCACTATTTAGTCTATTTATGACTACCACCCCGGACCATCTCCTTCCTTTATAATGCAATGGTCAAATATTTTTTTTTTTTTTAATTATTATTTCTT